GCCTCACTCAGAAAAGGCAGGTTATTAAGGATAGAAATGAATCACCAAAAATAATCAACATTTGATTATGTCAGCCAAATGACTGAACAGCACAGCAAGTGCTGGTTACTGAGCAAAATTCATCATTAAAAATTAATTTAATGGAAAAGTGGTAACTTTCAGAAGTTTCACCCACAGTGCCTCAGCTCAGAAAAAAAACCAGGGAAAGAGTTTGACTAAATGTACAAAAAATTTATCAAAGGCCATTGGCTTTGTGAACCATATAGTTTCCCAGAATTTAATTTCCAAATGTTTCTTTTTTATTATTATATTCTACAGTAATATAATTCAAATTAATAAGCATCAACTGAAAAGACACGCTAAAGTATAACTGTCTGGGAAACCAACACTGATTTCTAAGAGATCAGAATAGAAAGATGCAAAGCGCGTATGTATCCAGCTGTTGCTATACAGCAGAGAATGTCATTCTGTTTGAGTTAATACTCCCATCGCTCTGTTTACCAAAGACCTCGTCAAACGGCACTGACTGGAATAACGAACACTCTCTCAGCCCGACTCTACACCCTTCAGACAGTTCCAGTCCACGGGCGAGAGAGAAAGGCCCCACTAAACGCAAGACATTACTTATGTGTCTTTTAATGCCTGAGACAAAGGATGCGACTGAGAAGCCCGCGGGAAAAGATGGAGTGGCAACACAGCAAGTTACTGATTGAAATCTTTTTAAAAGCTCTTCGCAAACAGAGCAGACTGGGGGGAAGACAGATCGACTTTACAGACCAGTGCCCGTCATTCCCATATCCTGACACCGACTGCAATCCATCACCGTTTCCCTCAATGCGTCGGAGCAGATGGAGTACATTCAGACACAATGCACGAAGACTGACAAGGAGAGACAAGGGACTCCACACCCATGTAACAAATCATACCCACTCCTGGATCGCCTTTTTTTTTTTTTTGGGGAGTCCTTCAAAGCCTTCAAGGAGTTCTCCATTCAGACTGATATTCGCAAACTGGCTTAACACCTCAAATTGCCTTCGTCTCTTTTTGAAGGGCCCTCTGGGAGCACATTTCAGTTATCACTTCAAGCCCGTAAGCTTTGAATGAGCTTTCCCATCTGTGAATCCCTTTGGACAGATGCTCATTTTAGGACGTTTCAAAGCAAAATCATAGGTGTGGAGAGACAGTTACCACAGGATATGGTTAGAACACTTTGTGATATTGCTCCCAACTGCCATTTCATTGTCTGGATTACTCTCCTTCCCTGTTAAAATCGCCGTGACTTTTTATGCGTACTGAAATTGCAAGATGTGGCCGTTCCTGTGGAAATAATTTAAAATGATCCCTTAGAGTCCAAAAAGAAGCCGGTCATGGATATCCAGCAATTGTCTCAATATGGTGAATTTGGAAGATTACCATACTACTGGGGCACAAATGTTTACAAGAAACAACAGTCTATGGAAGGAAATATTTGCACATGATAAGTCAATGTCAGCAACAAGTGGGACTAATGCCTGCCAGCTTTTTGTTTTGCTTAGTTGTTTTGGTGGACAATTCCACACTGAAGACAAATTTAAAGATAGTTACACTTCTCCTGAATAATACATTAGTGTATACAAACTTATTCAATATACTACAGGCCAAACTATTAGTTTTTGCTTTTCTTTCCTTCATTTTAGCCTCTGAAAATGACCAATTAAATGCAAAAGAAAAAGCCATTATACACGGTAGTACCAACCAGTGCCCATTTTGACTAACTAGCTCCTCCTAGCTCTTAAAAGTTGTCACTTTCTTCCTCCCCCCACCTTGCTGTCATCTCTAACTATCTGAAAGCGGTGAGCAGAGTCGCATTACTCTGTTGTGATTTGAAAAGCGAGAGTGTGAGTGATGTGTTCCGAACAGATACTGCACAGCAGTGCCAAACATCGATCAAAACCAAACTCACTGCTGCGGCTCCTTTCAACTTTTCAGAAACAGACTATCATGGGATTAATCGCCGAATCAAACTGAGTTACTCATGATTGGTTATTAGACGGAGCTGCACCAGCCAATGCGGTGCCTCTCCTCTGTGTCTGCAAATGGGCATGTCTTGTTGCCAACAGGATCGAGACACCTCCATCCAAAGCGGGGTTACGTCAATAACGCGTGGTCTGTGGTACTGTGCACTTATGTTTTATATGGACTGTAATTGGCTACTGTCATTTCTGTCAGACAAGCCCTGGCCAAGGATAGTGAAAGAAATTCCTGTGCTTGTGTGCAGGAAGGCATATTGTTGTTTGATTTTGTTTCATTGATTTCTTATGAATACGAGGACCATGGCTCAGCAAGATCATTCTGCAGGATCATGGGTTAACGACATACCAAGATGACACAATGAATTTCTCCTCCATTTTGTTTTAGACCAAACCAAAACAGGGCAATGCTTTCCAGACTGAGAAGCAAATATCGTATTCTGTGTGTTTGTCTGCTGGGCTAGTTTCTGATGAGTATCTGACTAGAACCAAAGCCTGAAAGCACTGTAGACTGCCAGCACCAGTACTGAGACGCCTTGACATATCATACCAATAATGATGTAACACTGTCTTTGAACTTGATGAAACAAGACCAATGTGGGTTAGAGATACCACTTTGTAAGTTATAAAAAGAGATGACTTTGTGTGTCTGTGTCTGTGTGTGCACGTGTACGTGCGTGCATGTGCCTTTGTGTGTCTAATATAGTTCCTTTGGAATGTTTTGCACTTTTGGAATAAATAAGACAAGTAACTCAACTTAAATTCAGTATTTAAAGCTCCAGAGCATGCATACTGTGATTAGACTAAACAGAGGCCTAAAAGTCAGTACAGCACTTGCCAAATGTTACCAACACCCTATGTGTGACTGCTAGATAGATTAAAGAGCAGTAATTGGCTTGGCAAAGCAGTTTTGATAGCCAGATTTAATCATGCATTTGAGGGACGGCAACCCACGATGGGAAACTTGGGAAAATTCATTCCATTGCTGTTGCCAGCTATTGGATGATATAATGATGTGGTGCAGCGTGGCAGAAAGAGAAGGATTTAAAGATGAAGAACAGGGGATAACACTTTGAATCTGCATCATGTGCTGGGGTACATGCACATGCAGGTAATCTGAGTATCAAACACTGAATCACCAGCAACATACTATAATTTATGGAGACTGTACAGCTGGATTAAAACCCAAATTTAGCGCAAACGCTGATAGGTTCATTCTGCGAAAGGACAAGTGTCTGATATAATCACTATCCTTATACACAAATTAAAAAGTGTTAGAAGCTACTTGGAATGGCTCCCTGTTAGACACAAACCCAGGGAAATTGTTCTGTGGGACTTGCCAAGCACACAAGATGCACACCTTACCGTAATGTATGGTTACATGCAGCATTCCAGAGAACAGTTCAGGGTGCTCTTTGCCCAGTTCTTGGAGGACACCTCTAGGTAGCATTGCTTAACTTGGCCGGGCCGCCTAGTTTTAAGAAACAAGGTGTGTGTACGCCTCGCCGAGAAGTGCAGGCAAATAAGAACATCTCTGCCCTGCTGGAGCATGAAAGATTCAGACACTGAAAGACCGGTCATTACCCACAATCAATACCTATTTTTTTGGTCTTCGCCCATGCTGCAAGTCAAATACCATTAATTACCTGTAATGCTCTCTCTGTTCAAAGTCTGCACTTTCGAAAACACCATAATTGCCAGGACTGCAATCTCATTCCAAGCGAATGCAGGTAACAATGTGAGTGCTTTCAAATCCCCAGGTGCATTTAAGGGGACCAGCTTTCGTAATGAAAGGTTATTTCCTAGTTTACCATTCTCATTCTCGCTCTTGATCTTCTTTTATTACTGTAGCTCAGAGGAGACCTTGCTGTGAATCGATGTTAATCTGTGTGTATATGTGGTTACAGCAGATTGCACAAGCCGAAGCCAAACATCACCCAATGACATGATGCATCAAAAAAAAAAAAAACATTTATTCCACTAACTGTTGATATAGTCAATGTTGTTAAATAATGTATACTGTCATAAAACTGTTATAAAATAAGAAGTCAAAAAGATTGTCTTAACATTCAAAATTGGTAATGTGATTATTTCATGCAATTAAAAAAGTTTATGTTCTTGTTATGGATATTGGAGTTCACCAAGACAATTTGATATCAAAGCTAATTTAATAAATCTGCATGTAAATATATCATTTTCCAATTATTAATTCCTTATAATCATCTTATTTATAATGAGGTATATGCAATTAAGTATGGTTTTTCATCATTAAATGTATTTGGCTTATTCCAAATGATAGCTGGCTGAGATAACTTTATTGGTCCATTCACTCCTTCCTCAGAAAGATAGGAAACACAAAATTAGAAATTAATGAAGCAATACATGCATTTCATCAACATCTCAGATCCAAACACTCTCCTGATGGTTGCTCTTGTTCTTGTGTTATTGCTTTCTAATTTGATATGTAGTTCTCTGTGATGTCTCTTGGCTGAGAAATGAGGACCTAAAACATGCCGTTTTACTTCAAGATCTTCCTTTTTTATAAAAGGACCAAATTATGCCCAGTTAGACACTGGAAATCGTAAGCAATTTGTATATCATATTGTCCTTCCTTTCATGGAAAAGTAAGAAAAATATTTGTGTCAAGCTGGGGTCTCTGGAATCTCAATATTTCCCATTTCCTCCTAAGCTTTCTAGGATTCTGGAAAATACTGATGGCCAAACATGCATGGATTTTGATACAGTTTGACACAAATGTTGCGATGTTGGAGACCGGTAGTCACTCCCATGATGAAGGGACAGAACTACAGTGAGACGACAGAACAACAAAATGCCTCAGCTTTGTCACCGGGTCATAAACATTACATAGTGGCATTGTTGCAGACACTCTTATCCAGAGCAGCTTACACAGGTTCCATTTTTTTTACACATTACCCATTTTACAGCTGGATATTTACCGAGGCAATTCTGGGAAATTTACTTTGCCTAAGGGTACAACAGCAGGAATTGAACCAGCAACCTTTTGGTTACAAGCCCTACTCCTCACCACTATGTTACACTGCCGCCACACTTTTGTAAAAACACAACAAAATCAGAGAGGCTGGTTTTAGTGTGGATCGTTTAGTAACACACTGTGTTTTAGACGGAACCTCCTTAGATCAAACCAAGAATCTATTCTTGAACCCGGGTTCTCCCTTACAGCAGCATACGATTAATGCTCTGGGGTCCCTGGTTTTTGTCTGAGTGCATCTCCTTTATTCCCTCAGCTTTTTTGTGCTATTTTTAGCCATTTGTAATTTTACCTGTGGTAATTACTGCTGTTTTCAAGGCTCCGCACTTCCATAATCATCGGACGCTGGGTGCGAAAAGCTAGCGGCTGTAATTTGTGTATGCACACACGCATCTGACTAAAAACAAAGGGCTGACTCTGACTGAAAATGGGATCATGTCGGCACAGGCGCTCAAAAGCAGGGAGGTGACAGCGGAATTAGTCTGTGACATCACCCCCCGATGCATCAGAGAGACCAGGCAATTTTAGCCCGGATTCTTCTTTGATGAGCACGGCAAATGGATGACGGCCGAGAACAGCCGCTGCAGCCTAGGTACAATCAGAGTCGGGACTGCTGGCTTTATAATTAAAGGCCTGCACAGTATTGATTTTGTGCAAACTTATAAGAGCTGGATATTAACTTATATTTAGGGGGTTTCTTTCACTTAGGTTTTTTGATTCCGTCCACGGTTTTTATGTAGTTTAATTCCAAATAAAGTCATAGCAAGAAAATAACTTAGAAACACGAAGCAAAGAACAAAAACATTTGAAAAAATAACAAAAACAAATAAAATGGGGGAAACAAAAAAGATAAATTAGTATGCTTATGAAGACAGGTATTGCTAACAGGATAAAAAAACAGGATAATAAATATTAGTAATATGGTTACAGGCACAAAATTGAGACAACAAAGTTAAAAAGCTGTATCCACCTATTAGTGTTACATATATACTTGATATACATATGTACTTCCACAAACATGAACTCTAAAATGAGGATGTAGTTTCTCTTCCCTATTAGCAGATATGATTTGTGCACTGGTACACATAGATTATTACTCTCTCATATAAGTATACCTTAAATATTAAGAGAAAATAATGGGAAGGAAGACAATAGCTAAAAGAGTTTATGGTAAGGCTAAGTCTAGGATATATGCAAATCTTTTTCATGTGTACTTTTATTTCTGTCCAAATTTGGATCTGCTCATTATATACCTCCTCCAGAGAGTATGACGTGTTTTCTAACATCGATACGTCTAAGTATGTTCTGAGCCATGCTTCTCCACACAGTCAATATTTTTCTAGTGACACTGCATGTGCTTAGCAGAGGCCCTTACCCATAGCTTACAACTGTTACAATTTTCACATCATCCATTTATTCAGCTAGATATTTACTGAGGCAATTCAGATTGAGTACCTAGCCCAAGGGTACAACAGCAAGTGGTCCACCTGGGAATTGAATGGGTAATCTGTTGGTTACGATCCCTGCTTCTTACCACAACGCCACACTGTTGCCTACTTGCCAAGTTAATAATGGAGCCTCCTTGCAGTCATGCAGCCAACTCAATTTCTTATGTGATTTTCTCTAAATTTTGTTATGTAAATAGTTCAGTATTCAAAGGTCCAAAGGGAATTAACTTCCTAATTCCCATTTTGCCTCATTTTCCCACCACCATTTTATTAATTTCGGACAGTTTCATATCATATGCATAAACTGTCCGCTTCCCTTTTCACAGTGCCAACATAAATCATTTTCAGTTCCCTTCATTAATTTTAATTTTCTCGAGAATAGTGTAGCTGGTGTATGAATTTGCAATGCATTAATTTATTCCTTACAGAGCTGGAGGTTTTATGCATGTTTGTGCAACAACTCCAACTTTTCAATAATACATTAATGAAATATTCAAATGAATGGACTTTTTGAGATGTTTCACAATACTGCAACATGTTCAGATCTTTTTCACCAAACTGCACTGAAAGTCCATTCCTAAGCACTTCCCAGTTCAAACCAAATATGCAGACTGAAGGGGATCAGAGGAAACAAATCCAATTTTCTGTGGACTTCTGTTCCTCAGTCGTGTTAGCTCTTCCCCTGGGTAAAATGTACAAATTGCAGCTCTACCCCCCTTTTAGGATGCTGAAAATAAAAAGGTCTTGGGAAGTGCATTGTGACTCGGGTTCTCTAAGTCCATCCCGCCCCACAGGCTTGTATTGATTGGGCCATTTTTTGTGAGCCTTTGGTGGGTCCTTCGCCTTAATTGGCCAACAAACCGGCCATCAATCTAGCGGTACTGTTTTAACAGTTTAAAGACTACTGAGGGCGGCTGATAATGCCACTGCTTTCCTGACAGGAGTCCCGGCGAGCGTAGAACAGCAGCGCCGAGTCTGTCTCCGCTGGCATAGCGCCCGGGGAAATTAGACAAGTATGTCCCCCGCCACCTCCACCCCCACCCCAGGCGACACGAGAACGCACCCAGCCTCCTGAAAACACTGACGCGTTTAGGGTAGCGATCTCAGTGCGCGATGCATAGCTCCGAGCCCTAATGAGACGTGGCTGTTGACTTTACAGCAGGGGAGGCATCGTCTGACCCAGGCTCTCCTGCTTGCAGATTTCCACACCGCACAAGATAAGGACCTCAATGGGAGAATGCATACAACAGACGCTCATTATCGAGGGATGGCAGTTACCAATTTAAATGCGCAATATTACAATCCCACATCAAATAAGAGCTACTAAATCTTTGCTCGTTTTTAATTGGTTAATGTATGTTGAATGCTTTTGTAGATGAATGTAATGAATGTAAATTGATTTATTAGACATGATTACAGCAATATCAAGCCATTAAGCATATGTCTCGATCAGGGGCTGTTATAGCATATTATTTGAATAGCTACACACATTGACACACATATGATTAAAATACAGCAATACTGTGGTGGTGACTAGTGAATAATTCTTAGATGCAAAACTTACTACAAAGACTGATTTTTTTCAAGGGTAGGTGAAGGGATGGGGGCTTAAACTCTGGTACTTTCCATTAGTGCCTCTACCAAATGGGCTTATTTATGATTAAATCCTCAATTACTGAACCCTTAAGTAAAGTATTTCACTGGCCATTAATCAGAGAAAATAATCTTGCCCTTTATCCAGCTAGGTTTGGCACAATCAGCCGTACCCCGGAACACAACACAGTCGACTGCCAATGCACACGGCAAAGTTGCTTGCAGTTGTTTGCAGGGGGGAATTGCATTTAATTTAATTTCGGGGGCCTCCCCTTCCCTGCTCCCCCCCACAACCTGAGCGGAAACCACAAGTTTATTGATGCCATTCATTCAGCCTCTCCATGCCTTATATAGTTACAGCCGCCACAAACGATGGTCCATTGTGTCAGGGAATACAATTTCCCGACCGACATTCATCCGGATCTTAATGTTTGGCCGCCACGCTGCATTCAATTTATTTTTATCGCTTTGACCGGGAACGCGGGAGGCGGCGGTGGCGGCGGCGTCACTGCGCTGGGGTGGCTGCTCCTCCTCGACCCTGAGAGAGCGCCATGATGTTCGGGGCCGCCGTGAGCACCCCGGGGTGGGAGGAGGGGGGAGAATGTGCCGCGGCGCCACTGGTCCCATCGCATCTCTCGCCCGGCAGATGTGCCCTCTAATTAGCCGCCGTCACGCGGCGTCTGGCCTCTAACGAGCGTCACCTCCCTGACACGCGGCGCTTGGAACGAAAGCGGGATCGAGCTCTGCCACCATCGCCGTGCCAAAAGCAGCGCCTCGCAGACCGGCCCCTGGGTGGCACCTATGTGCCATCCCTCCTCCCCAGCCTCGCCCCCGCCCGCCCCAATCGCTTCCTGGATATCTCCCGGAGGTCTGAAGCTGTGCTTAATAGCGACAGACGGCAGAGACATCGCCTCCAGCAGAGAGAGCAGCAAGTCAGATGCAGATGGAGTACGGGAGGCCCTCTCTGTCAGATTTTGACAGGTTGTGTTTGGGAATAGGGGAGGCCGTCTCTCTCCAGCTCACGAAAGGGCTTCAGGCCTTTCCTGTGCTTTCCAGTGCAGGGAATTAAAACCGTGCCCCAAAAGCACTTGCACTGTGCCATCTTTAAACACATGTGTAAACGTTGCTCAGAACATATTATGCCACCTGGTTGTGGCATATGGGCTAAAAATCAAACTAATTGCACGGAAACGTTGGCTTTGTTTTGAACTAACTAACCCATGTTGTTTGCAATACACAAAAATACTATGTGCAGTTAGTGACAAAAAAACCTTCCAAAATATATTATTCAGGGATAAAGACAAACCACAGTGTGCTTACACTGAATTCCAGCCATTGGCTGTGTACTATCTGGATTCTGCCAGAAGAGCCATTTCCCACCAGGGTACACAGAGACAGTTCAAACACTGGCATAGGTAATTAGGCAGTGGGTGGTCTTTATTGGCATCCATAAGCTGGCATCTAAGGATACATCCACTGAACTTTACACAACAGCTAATTTACGGCTCCAGCAAGCAATGGCTATATAGTTTCAGCCGGCTGATCAGATGATTATTCAAAGACAAAACACTCAGTGCTGGATTCGAACTAAGACATGTCCATGTTCATCCAACAACAGCTTTTTTTTATACCAGCTGGTTGCCCAAAAAACGATGCCACTCACTGTCATCTGATTGGCTGAGCCTGTGGCTGGACATGAGTGGCTCTGCTCATTGCCTGCATGCTGTTCTCCCTGGCACTGCTTCCAGCCTGCCATAAACAGCAATGGGCTTTGTTGTGCAATACATCAGTGTGTATCCAGCTTTCATGATTTACAGTTAAAAACAGGATGCAAGTTTGGACACACGGTAATGTCGAGGTACTGATTTTTTTTTCTCTCCCACAGAAATGACATATTCATAGCTAAATACCACTTAGAGAGTAAATTCACATGAGCGATTCCAGGGCCATTAGCCAGAAAGGGCACAAATTCTCCATTTCCAGCTCTGAGGCAACATCATGGTCCAAACACA